TTTTTATGTTATACACTAAACACAAAAACAGTTGTAAGGTAGGCAAAATACAATGCAAGAAAGGGGTAAAAAGGAGCAAGTTTCTTACCCTTGAAGACCCTCTTCAACAATGGAGCTCCAGCAGCTTCTTTAGGTTGAAACCAACTCCAAAACTCCAAGAACACTCCTTTGGCCCTCAATAACCAAGAGAAGGTGTAATGGTGGGTGCTTGTGAGCAAAAGTAAGACAAAACACACACACTAAGCTCAAGAGAGAGAGAGAGAGAGAGATATAGGATAGATATAATTCCTAACCCTAATATCAAAGCTCTCTAAAAATGTTCTCTAACCCTAATGCCAGAGAGGAGCCCTCTTCTTATAGGCAACTCCTCTTATAAGGCTTCCAAAAACAGCCATCCAAGAGGGAAATCCCTCCATACACGTGTATGGAGGGGAACAGAGTGGTGCCAGCTATCACAGCTGGGCACAAAATATCTACTAAAAGTAGATGAACAGTGATCGGCCATTCAAAATTGCCATTTTGGCACAATAAATGGCCGACCGGCAACAAAGAGTGCCGACCGGCAATATACATTGCCGATGGCACAAAATCACTGGCCAGTGGCCTCAAGCCATGGTCGGTGATGTGTGGGGATGCCTCACAAGTCATTCATTGCCCCTCCAAGGAAAAATACAAGTGTTTGGTGCAAAACCAGACACAAAATGGTCGAGTCAAGAGATCCTGAGGCAAGGCGCGCAACCGAGACCTCCGGGAACTCAAGACGAACACAAACAAGGGCAATCACCAAGTGTTCCAATGGTGACGTCCAAGTCTTGAGGACGGTCAAAAATAGGGTGTCTACAGACGTCTACAGGTGTTTTAGCTAAATTCATATATCTTTGATAAATTTACCAAGAATTTTCTCAATATAATGTGATTGAGATAATGCATATCCGTCAGATATTTTAGTAATTTCCATTCCTAATATAACATCTGCGACTCCCATATCTTTCATATCAAATCTTTTGTTAAGCATCTGCTTAGTTAATTTGATTATGTTTTGATTGCTTCCAATGATAAGCATGTCATCCACATAAAGACAAACTATCTGGGAAGGATAAGCGTATTTGTCACATTCGTTTATCTTAAACCCATTAGTAAGCATTGCATGATTAAATTTTTCATGCCATTGCTTAGGCGCTTGTTTTAATCCATAAAGAGATTTTACAAGCCGACAAACTTTCTTTTCTTGCCTCGACACTACAAACCCTTCGGGTTGCTCCATATAGATCTCTTCATTTAGATCACTGTTTAAGAAAGCTGTCTTAACATCCATTTTATGTATTTCTAAATTAAACAATGCTGCTATAGAAATAAGCATGCAAATGGATGTTATTTTTGTCACAGGAGAATATGTGTCAAAATAGTCCATACCTTCCTTTTGTCTGTAACCTTTAACTACAAGTCTTGCTTTATACTTGTCAATTGAACCATCTACTTTCATTTTTCTCTTAAATATCCATTTATATCCAAGAGGTTTAGAACCTGGTGGAAGATCTACCAATTCCCAAGTATGATTTTGCATATTGGACTCAATTTCATTATTAACAGCCTTTTTCCACAAAGGTGCTTCAGGACCTATTATTGCTGCCTTAAAGCTTTGAGGTTCATTTTCTAACAAGTATGTCAGAAAATCTGGACCAAAGGATTTTGATGTTCTCGCTCTCTTACTTCTTCTTGATTCATTATCAGTTAAATCTTGTTGGTCGAGACCATTACTAGTCTCTTGTGTTTGATTGTCATTAGTCTTTTGACTTTGTGTACAATCATAAGTTCTTTTCTGTGAACTTAATTCCTGTTATTTCTTGTAAGGAAAGACATGTTCGAAAAACACAACATTCCTTAACTCTATAATAGTGTTTACATTTATATCAGGTATTTCTAATTTATAAGTCAGAAACCGATATGCACTACTATTCTGAGCATAACCAATAAACACACAATCTACTGTTTTTGGTCCAATCTTAGTCTTTTTAGGAACAGGAACTTCAACTTTTGCCAAACACCCCCACACTTTTAAGTATTTGTAGGAAGGCAGTCGATCTTTCCACAATTCATAAGGGGTGCTGTTGGTTTTTTTGTGTGGTATTCTGTTAAGAACATAATTAGCAGACAATATTGTTTCCCCCCCACAAGTTCTATGGTAAGCCTGAACTTAGTAACATGGCATTCATCATTTCTTTTAGGGTTCTATTCTTCCTTTCAACAATTCCATTTTGCTGTGGAGAATAAGGTGCTGTAGTTTGGTGAATAATGCCATGTTGCGTACAAAATTCATTTAATGGTGCATCATATTCACCACCTTATTACTTCTAACCATTTCAATGGTTTTACCAAGTTGATTTTCAACTTCTGTTTTGTAGAGTTTAAACATTTCTAAGGTTTCATCTTTATTTCTAAGTAAATAAATATAACAATATCTTGTGCAATCATCGATAAATGTTATGAAATACTTTTTGCCTCCTCTAGTTTGAACAAATTTTAGATCACATACATCAGTATGAATTAATTCTAGGGATTCGGTTTTCCTTTCAATCGATTTAAATGGAACTTTAGTTAGTTTCGCTTCTACACAAACTTCACATTTATGATTAGGATTAATTTCAAATTTTAGTATATAATCCAAACCAATTAATCTACGCAAAGCATCATAATTTACATGTCCTAATCTACCATGCCATAAATTCGACTCAAGAATATAAGCAAAAGATGTATTATTCTCATTCATAGCAACTTTTGGTACAACTGTCATTACATTCAACTTAAAAAGACCATCACTCATGTATCCCTTACCAACATACATACCACTCTTTGTTAATACAAATTTATCAGACTAAAAAACAAGCCTAAAACTATTTTTACTTAGCAAAGAACTAGAAACTAAATTCTTCCGGATGTCAAGTACATGCAGTATGTTGTTGAGGGTCAGTTCTTTCCCTGATGTCATCTTCAAGATCACTTTTTCTTGTCCAGCCACAGTAGAAGTAGAAGAATTTCCCATGAAAAGTTGTGCACCATTTGTAGCCTCATTGTAGGTAGTGAACATCTTCTTGTCCGCACAAATGTGACAAGTTGCTCCAGTGTCAACTCACCACTCCTTGGGATTTCCAACCAAGTTAGCCTCAAACACCACAGTAGAGAGGTTGATATCATTCACTCCGTCAGAGATGTAATCTAATTCAGTTATATTGGCTTGATTGGTGGTCTTCTTACTTGTACTTCCATGATCCTTTTTAGGGCGGCGACAGTCAGAAGCCCGGTGTCCAGTCTTGCCACAGTTATAACATTTTCCTTTGAACTTCTTGTTGCTATCGCCTTGTTTAGGACCATCTCCAGTAAACTTCCTCTTTTTGTTATGTGGTTTATGAATTTGTTCAACCACATTAGCCTTGGACTCAATGGGATTTTTCCATTCCTTTTTTCAGCCTTACGGTTATCTTCCTCAATTCTTAGTCTTACAATAAGTTCATCCATGGTCATCTCTTTGCGTTTATGTTTTAAATAATTTTTAAAATCTTTCTAAGCCGATGGTAACTTTTCCACTAAAGTAGCGACTTCGAAAGATTCACTAAAAGACATACCTTCTGAATGAATATCATGCAAAATTATTTGAAAACTTTGAATTTGAGAAATTACCGTTTGGGAGTCTACCATAACAAAGTCCAGAAATTTACTGACGACAAATTTCTTCGTACCGGCATCCTCTGTCTTGTATTTCTTCTCCAAAGAGTCCCACAATTCTTTTGCTGACTTCAAAGGACTGTAAACATTATACAGCATATTGTCAAGGCCATTGATGATGTAGTTTCTGCACAGGAAATCTGAATATTTCCAAGCATCTACAGCGACAACAACTTGCCGATCACTTTCGCCTTTTTAAGTGCTGGAGCCTCCTAAAGTAATAAGAAACTCAACTTGTACATTTTGTGTGAATTAAAAGCACAAAATAATCTGTTGTATTACTTAGAATATATGAAACAAAACTGAAACCAATATACTTTCTCATTCAACAACCCATTTGATAATACATCAGCTATATTTATATACAAAGTAATAAGGAACTCAACTAATCATCTAGAACAAAATATCTTCTAACAAACTAACCATCTTCTTAATTGTATAACTAACTCATACACAGATGAACTTCTTGAACTACAATCTGTTGAACTGCATTCTGAGCCGGAGTCACCTAAGTTGGCTACACTACTTGCACCTGAGCTGCTGCACTATGAGCTGCTGCACTACTTGAATCTGAGCTAGCTGAACTATATTCCTCAACAATATATATATAAATAAATCACATAAAATTGATAATGTATGACTTTAAAGTTAAAACTATTTCTTCCTTAACGTCTAAATAATTAATTTTTTAATTTATTTAAATTATTTTTGTTTTGTAAATTGTAAACAGTAAGTTGCAGTAACCACATTGACACATATTCTTAAAATTAAATATATAAAAATAGAAACTCTATATTTATTCCCAATAAATTGTAGCGAATGAGAATTATTAAAGAGGAAAAGAAAGATGTACAAAACAAAACAAACTGATCAAGTTGTGGAAGAGTTTTTTTAATTTATTTTTTATCACTCGGTAAGATATCTCTACAAATATGATGAGAACCATAATCCAATAACACAAATCTACGAGTCCAATACTAACTTAGGAAATAACCATAATGAGAAAAAATAAATAATTTAATACAGTGAAGGGCATTATTATTACAACTTAACTTTTAAAGTGGAATGCAAAAAAAAAAAAAAAAAAACAAAAACAACGAAACTTAAATACATACAAGGGAATAATACCCATTTACAGATGAAGGTCATTAAAAAAGAAAAATGGAGAGAACAACAATTTACAGAACAGAAATTTTCAGAACTTAAAACTGCCTGAAAAAAAAAAAAAAAAAAATTGCAAAACCCAAATTAAGCGAAAGAAGAAGTGCATACAATGTGCATCAGTTCGGATTTTCCTCAAATGTGTAAGGATATCCGTATGCACATGGAGGTGCCGATGGACCATAATTGGATTCCGGTGGCGGCAGCGGCTCCCGTGGTGGTGGAAAGTTCCCACTGCTGTATAAATTGTATACACCACCGCCATGCTCATCATTTTTGTTGTCATTGAATGTGAACTTCGTAGTCTTGGAATAGGTCACCTCCACGTGTTTCAATCCTCGAATTCCTCCAAATTGATGCATTTGAGCGACCAAGTTTTGGTCATCAAACTCTTTAACAACTGGTTTTTGCGATTGTGGTTGTACAGTGATTTGCATGTTGTTGTTGTGTTGATTGTCCATTTGTGGGCTTTGTTCCAAGAACAACAAGACTCCTGTTTTGTATTGTTTTTCAAGCTTTTTTATGACTCTTTGTGGACCTACAGTACCTGTAATGGTGACCATCCCTTGGTTGGGATCTATGGAAGTTGAGTGTACCCCATCAATTTTCTGCAATAGATTCTTGAGCTTTCTCTGACATCCTTGGCATTGGCACTGCTTGGTCAGTTTGAGGACAAAAGTCTTTGGAGCTGCCATTGAATACTCCATTGTAGTATATGCTTTTTCTTCTGTCTTGCTTTCTCCTCTCCTTGGGGTCTCTGAAAAACTATTCCTCCAAAAGAATAGTAGAACTTTTCTTGATCTTTTCTTTAACTTCTAAACTTTTTGTTACCAAAAATATAAAAAATAAAAAATAAAACTTTCTAGCCTTCTGTATATTGGAGATTGAATATATCAACTGTGCTGAAACCAAAAAATGAAAAAAATTAGACTACGTAGCGAGAAAAATAAAATTATACCCCAAAAAAAAATGTATAATTCAAAATTAATCTGAGTATCAACTTTGTTTTGGTATAGAATAATATGTCAATAAATATATGACATAAATATTGTTGGGGAGATGCCAAACTTGGCCTAATATTGATGATCACAAAGTTAAAGAAGAAACTTTTACTCTAACAAACGTTGCTCTAGATCGGTGTACGAATAGCAAGTGCAATATATGAAGCTAGAGGCTTTTTTATATACATAAAATCAACCACGAAGTTACACGGAAACATAAAAGAAACTCATTCAAAGACTTATTCTTAATTGATAAGAAAACCACAAAATATTATAATTTCCTGTGAACTTGGGTGGTAATTTCCCCTTGTTCGTAATTAGACATAACTTTCAAGAATTTTGAATTTTTTTAGATGTTGTATATAAACTGAAATGTTTTTAAATTTTTTTAGGGAGATTTATTAGAAACTTCTTTTTCAAATGTTTGTATCCCAATTAGTCTATAAGATATTCTTGTATTTCAATAAGTCCTATTATTTAAACATTTGATCTACCAAATCCTAATTCTCATATTTAAAGTATTTTATGGACATTTCTAGCCTTACAAATAGTTTTTGAATTGTTGGCAATTTGGTGATGTGAACATTCATATTTTACCATGTGAATATTCACATTAACGGTGTAAACATTCACATCACCGAACATTTACACTGTAAATCTGAATATTATTAGGGATATTTTAGTAACTATGTCATTCATAGGATTTATTGGAATATAAGAAAATAATATAAACTACATGAAACATAAGTAGATGAAAATGAATTTATGAAAAAGTTTTCCATTTTTTTATTACTAAACATAAAAGTAATGTCTCACATGCATTTATTAATTTGGGTCTCGTTAGGTAGAGCATTATTATTTTTAAATGTGATCAATTAATATCTCAGACACAATATGCAGAAAATCAATACAAAATGACGTGGTTGTTATGTAGTTCTATCGCTTACAAAAACAAGAACAAAAGACACACACACACACACACAAAAAAAAAAAAAAAAAAAAAAAAAAAAAAAAAAAAAAAAAACCTCACTAAGTTTATTATTGATGAAGAAAATGTCATTATTACATCATTTTCATGACAAGTTATGTTTAAATTTTTGATAAGAATATTTTAATCTTAATTTTTTTTTTTTTTAGTTAAATATATAACAGTTAGGCAATTATAATTTTATGCATATGTTTGTTGATTGTCGGTTTGATAAATAAAAAATATTTATTTATTTTAGAATGTCCCCTGTTTCTCAATCCCACAAGGCAAACAAAGTATGTATATAAAAATATGGGCCCTCGGTCCGTAAGGTTTTAATTTTTTGGGTCAAAAAAATATAATTTATCCAAAATAACAATTATTTGTTGAAATTAATTTATTTATCTATCTATCAAAATTTATCAAACTAACAATCTATTAAAATGTCGCATATGTCATGCATTCAACATTTTATCGGTTGTATATCACACATTTATTTACCTCACCACCACCACTACCACTACCTGCCGTTGCCAGTGACTTTTCCAACGAATTTCCCGATAACTTTTTTGGTACCATCGAGTTTTCCATTGTTGGTGACTTTTTCCGGTGATCTTTCATGCATATTCTTATCACCAATTAAGATTTTACCTTGAATTTAATGACTTATACCCATTTGGAATGGACTTTCACCAATTTTCTCTAAAAATATAAATATACAGAAAATCAACGTCAAATCTTATTTTTAAAAGTCTTAAAAGTGCACTCGAGTTAAGTGTTCAATTCCTTCTCTTCCAAACTAATTGACAATGTATTTTTGAAAATTAAAAATTAAAAATTGCACTTACCTCTTATCTATGCAAGGAATAAGGCATTCAATAAAGTTAGTTGAATGGTATATGTTTTTTTTTTTTAAGCTTTGTTACACGATTTCTTGTTGAATGGTATATGTTTTTTTTTGTTTTAAGCTTTGTTACACGACTTTATGATTGGACATAACTCTTTCACATTGAGTGATATTTAAAAATATTTTGGGTTTAAATTTTTTTTTTTTAAGATTTGAAAATTCAAAAAAGAGAAAGAAAAATATAAAAATAATGCGAATAAAATTTAAGCTAAATTTTTTTTCCTAGTATTGTATTTGCAGGGCCATCTCTGACTTTTTCGAGACCCAAAGAGAACTTTCAATACAAGGCCTTCAACATATATTTAAAAAAAAAAATTATGTGTCTAATTGTTTTTCAATATTTGACGGTACTCGTGAAAAGGTTACTTCCAATATATATCTATTAAAATTTACTTAAATATACATTAAATTTTACAATAAGAAAAATGACCAAAATAATTTAAACTGAAGTATCAAATAAAAATTAAGCAAACCGTAACAAAAATCACTTAAATATCATTCTTCTCACATTTTTAGCTGTAAGATTACTGATCTAGTTCGCATAATCCAAATTATAAGCTAAATCATTTTTGATGGATAAAATTGTTAATCTATTTAATATTTCATTTGATATAGTTGAGAAAATATAAGATTTAATCAACTTTAATTTGAAAAGAGCAACTGTAAGTAATATAGTCAATCGTATTCTATACATAACCTATAAATTTAGAAAATAACCATTAAATAATTTTAAACAATTCACCACATCAATAAGATTTATAGCTTCTTTCAATTAAAAACAACTATACATTAGTTTTAATAATTTACTACATCAACTATATGTTAGTTTTAAATCATAATTGGATTTTGTTGATACCTTTTAAATTCCAGTGAATTTTTTTTTTATAGCATAATATAATAGTTAACAAAATTTTGGAGCCTTTGTTTTAGTTAATTTTCCAGGGCCCAAAACGACGGCTTCGATGCCTTATGGCTAAAGCCGGTCCTGTGTATCCGATTCTATGACTAATTCTATACACCTAGATTTTTTCATCCTTATTTGAATCACTTGAACCGGAAGCAATGTTGAATTATAAGTTAATCATGTGGATTAGTTGGACCAGAAATTTCATAGAATCGCCATGTGAAACTTTTTGCCATTCGACATGGCAATAACTTGATCAATTATTAAAGGTGATAAACTTAACTCAAAATTGTAAATTCATTTAAATTTTTTTTAAATTCACTTAAAATAATAAATAAAAGTAAATAAATTGCATCTTATATATCTAATAAAAATTTAATCGAATTGAATATAGGTACCTGTCTGTCTCTATGCCCACCTCCCGTGACCTATTTAGAAGCTAAATTTTTTTGGCTTTTTTTAGTTTTTAATGAAATAATGTGTAAAAAAAATAAAGAGATGATATGATTCAAAAAAATCAAAAAACTACCTTTCTAACTTTTAACTCAATTGCCAAAATAAGCCTCATCGTTGTCGCCGCTACTGCATCCACCACAGTTACCACCGTTGTATTTTCTATCAATTTTTATTGTCTAATTTTTCACATTAGGCTAATTAAAATTGTCAATTCCTTATTGAATAGATTGTTTTATTCTTAATTTTTATCTAATTTATAAATCTTTCAAAATATTTATAAATTATGTCCTCACCATTAAATAAAAAAATAAATAATAATAATCTTTCATTTTTTTAGATTGATTTATCCGTAACTTCCATTATATTATAGTGATGTGGTCATTCGCTAATCTCAAAAATTTATTGGCGTGTGGTTCCAAAATTGGAATACTTTTTTTTTTTGACAAGTTCAAAATCAAAATATGAAACTTCTTTTAAATTATCTTTTTCATTTTCGTAGAAATCTCGAAGGGTGGTGCTGGATCCATTAGGTTTCTACTAGTTCAACTTTACCCAAGTGATGTGGATTTGGTGATGTGACGACATGGAAATAATTTGAATTATTATTTTTATTTATTTATTTATTTTATGATATTAAATCAAATTTTTGTTGATAAAATATGATTTCTTGTGAAATTTTATCAATTATTTTTCTAATAAATTATATAACGTGGATTTGGTAATGTGACGACATGGAAATAATTTGAATTATTATTTTTATTTATATATTTATTTTATGATATTAAATCTACTTTTTGTTGATAATATATGATTTCTTGTCAAATTTTATCAATTATTTTTCTAATAAATTATATATCTTTAGGAGCACTGGCATTTAGTTGATTTTGTAAAAAATTATGACGTTGTTGATCATTTGTTGTTAATAGTATTACTTAATTACGATCTAATAAACACTCATATAACTAATAATAATAATAATAATAAAAAGGCTTGTTGCCTTGTAGTTTTAAGATGTTTTGATTTTAGACTTAGTGTGCTTCCAAAATAGATTTTCATAATTTCCCACGAAACTACCGAATTAGAAAAGGTTGGATTTTTTTGTAATTTTTATTTGTATATATTCTATATCTATATATTTACAATTATTATCTTTGCTATTTTTTAATATATTTTTATAATTTATTAAATTTATTTCTCCTAGATCATATTCACAATCTTTAATTTCAATATCTCCTTCCATTTTTTCACATATATATTTATTTTTTAATTTTAATATTAATTTTTGATATATTTTGTCTTTTCATATGATTAGTAATATCCAATCTTTTTTTATTTCTTTTTTCTTGAAAATTTCTATGACAAATTGTTCTTCTCTTAAATTATCTATACGTATCCCTTCTATTATCATAAAATTCAATTCTTCATCAGTATCATTATAATGTTTGTTTTTTATTTCTATTTCTTCTTTAATTAATTCTTTGTAATTTTTCAAACTTTTAGAGTGAAACTTATAATATATAAGATTGGAAAATGATTGACGTGTATGCTCCGCGTGAGATCCGGGTGACTCGGGCTTTGCGGAATTCGGTTAATGGAGAATCATTCAATCCAAATATTTTATTTCACGTGATTCTAAAATTATAATACGAAATTTTTTTCACACTATCACTTTATACATTTTAATATTTTAATTTAAAACTTATTTTTTAATTTGTATGTAATATTAATAATTAAATTTTTATAAATAAATCATTAAGTCAATTAACAATTTTAATGATATTAAAAATAATTTTCAATGAATAATTTTAATAATTTTATTGTTGAATAAGAGAGTGGTTAGAATTTTTTTTTATGTTTGTTTAGTTAAATTAAAAAATTTAACAAGGAATAGTTGTAATCTCTAATATTATAGGGATATTTCATATTTTAAAGAAAGCTCAGGAGTGTATTTGTAATTTATTCAAAAATAAAATATTTATGCTTCATAACTGACCAAGATTTTGTGCATAATTATGATAAAACCTACATATAAATTAGAACCACCAATAATGGTAAATATTACAAAAAAAAGAGGACAAAATGAAAAATTCTAACATATAAGCCAAAATGAGTAAATAATACAAAATAAAAGGGTAAAATGGAAAAATGAAAAAGCAAGCCTCAACCAACGCTTTTGTATAGATATATATTTTTTAACAGGGTGTTCAAACCCATTTGTGCACACCTCAACTATAAAACTGTTTATTTTGGCCAAAAAAAATTTCTATAGAAAGCAATGCGTTAATAGTGGTGTTAGCGGTAGTGTAGTGTTGGTGGGGTGGCGGAGGTGATGATACTGTGATGGTATTAGCAAAATTTTAATTTTAAAAAAAAAATTAGAGCTTGGTTTCATTAATTATAGAAAATTATTTTTGTTGACTTTCATTTTTTATCATATCAAATATCAAAAAATGTGAAAAGCATATTCTAAAAATACAAGATTTAAGAACTCAAAATTAATTTGGTAATGAAACTTTGGGCTAGGGGTGGTTCATGGGTGGTGGGGTGGAGTCAGGTTGCATATCAATTACCACTATCCACATTTGATTACTTATGATTCCGAAATAGACCATGTAGGTCAAGTGGATTAGCAGGTGGATATAGATTGTCTTTGGCGAATTGAACCTTACTATTTTGGTCATTTTACGCTTATTTTATCAGTTTCTTTTTTGATTTGGGCATTCTTTGAACCCTTTTCTTTTTTTTTCCTTTTTTCTTTTTTTTTTGGGGTTAAAAAAATAAGGGCTTATGTTTGGGCCAGTTGTGCCCTTTTTTTTTTTTTTTTTGAAAAGGAAAAAATTCATTTTTAATACTTTAACGAATAAATATTATATATAAATAATATATAGGTGAAGTATCAATACATCTCAAAATGTGATCTTATGAACTGTTTAATTCTTCCTTTTTTCTTATGAACCCAATGATTCCATTAAAGTGAAAATTACACAAAATGATAGTCACTTACACGTTTTGGTTTAATTTTTGAGAAATAAAAGTGGGTTTCTCCAAATGTGAAATTACACATTTAGGCAATCTGCATTATAGAGATTTTGGATTTTTTCTCATTCTGAAATAAATCTCACATTACGAATAAAAACGTAACACACTAATAACGTAACATTTTAAAGTAACATACTAAAAAACTCTTTAGTATATATTTTTTTAAAGGTAACAACGTAACACTCTAAACTTTCCCAAACGTAACACTCCAATGTAACACACAAAAACTCTTTAGTATACTTTTTTCCAAATGTAACACTTCAATCAATATAATCTCAAACGTAACACTCTAATGTAACACTCATAAAAATATTAAAAAACTATCTAGTGTACTTTTTTCAAATGTAATACTCACAGTTTGAACTTATATAATTACTCAAAACTTACTAAAGAATTTTTATACTCCTTTTAAAATGGTTTGAAGAATCTCACACCCTTTTAGAATAGTTTGAAGAATCTCACATTTTTTTTTTATATTTAGAAAAAGTATATTAAGAAATTTTTTTATATGTTATATTAGAGTGTTACACACATTTAGAAAAAGTATAATAATTAAGACGATGGAAGTCCATTTGTAGAGTGGGCAACAATCGGCCTATTATACGCCTGCGATTTGTGCTGTCCATTTCGTGGGCCACGATGGAAGTCCATTTGTGGAGGTCCATATATACTGGTCTACCATTTAGCGGGCTGAAATTGTTGATCTTAGTGGGCTGAATATATTAAGGCCTTGGTAAATGAACCTTTTATTTTGGGCCACAAAATTTTAATTGAGCTTTCGAGTTTTCTGCATAGTTTTTGCAACATAATAATTTTAATTCCGAACCTTCAAGAGAAAAATTAAGGCTGTTACTTTGGAAAAAAAAATTTAAGTTATTGGTCAATCCTATTTACCAAACTTGTATATTTATAAGTTATGTTCTTTTTTTTCATGCATCAATATTCATAAAAAGTATTAGACTAAAATAAGTATTTTTGGACTTATTAATATATTAAAAAAATATACAAAACTTATAAATAATCAAGTCTATCACATAGAACTAACTCGTAATTTATCTCAACTTTTAAGCTCAGAATTGGGCCTTAAAAACGAATAATGCTAGGGATCATGAAAAAAATATCATGAAATGTTTCATGAAGAGTTTTTATCTTTTGATTAGTGTGTAGCATTTTTTTATATGTGTAATCTAATGGTGAAAAATCTTTCATGATCATTTTCATGATATTTTTTTCATGATACCTACTATTATTCCTTAAAAGTGTGAGGCCAGTTTAGTTAAAATTTTGTACAATATTGTTGTCAATAGCAATTTTAGAGTCCAACTTTGGTATTTGCCACGGAAGAGTATTTTTATTTTTATTTTTTTTATTTTTGTTTGGATTGGTAAAAACTCATTTTAGATAAATGCACCCACACCGGTAATTTTATTCTGGGCTCATTCGGAAAGTTGACCATTTTAGTTAGTATTTTAGTTTTATTGATTATTTTAGCCTAAACAAAAAAGTTATGTGTGGAAAGTTTTTTTTTAGTTGATTTGATAGTTGTAAAAAAAAAAAGAAGTGAAATGATTATAATTTGGATGTAATATGTTATCTTATTGACTATTTTAACCTCTTAATTAATTATTTTAGTCAAAAAAAAAAATCCCAAATACTTGCAAAAAAAAAAAAAAAACCTTTGTTGGAACTTCATGCAAGAAAACCTTTCCATTATCCACTTCTGATCTCGAAACTCACACAATTTCAGAGTGTAAACAAGACTTGGATGGATAGGATAGTTGGTCTGCTAGTCCATGAAATTCAGGATTCGAGTCGATGAAACGATTATGATCCATTTGTTGTAATCTAAATTATTAATTATTAACACTCTTACCATTTGCCAAAAAAAAACACAAACATGGATACAAAATTTTGTGAATGTCCAAACTTGCATATAAAAAACTTACAGAATAGTGAAAGCAAAATTATTTTCAGATTTGAAACAAAGGATAATTTGCTGCTAAAATGCAAGGTTGCAAGGACGGTATTGAGATATTTTGTTTTTTCTTCAGTTTGTCTTGTTTGGTAAGATTAAATTTTAATTTAAAAGTTAAAAAATTATTTAAAAAATTAAAATTTAATAAATTATATAAAAAATTAAAAGATTTTTTTTCTGTCTCTATTTTTTATACATATTGTTATAAAAAGTTAAAAGATCATTTCAAATATATTAATTTTTTTACCTCATATTTCAATAAAAAATTACTAAAATAATTTATTTTCAAACTAGTACGTTTCAACTATCGCCCTTAATTAATTTTTTTTGAATTTATTTAAATTATTATTCTCATGTAGTTACACACTTTGAAATACTTCAAACTGAATAATTCAATAATACAAATTTACAAACCCAATACAACACCAACACAAAAATAATTATAATGAGCAAAAAGATAAGAATAATGATAGAGATCATTAAAAAAAAATATTATAAAATATTTCATAAAGATTTTTCATACTTTAATTTATTTATAGTATTTTATTATATATATACTCTAAATAAACAACAATGAGAAAAGATCTCATATTGAAGTCCAGTGAATCATAATTACCATAAAGATAACATAGAATGTATTATTATTACAAAGTAGCACTTAAAGTGGACAAAAAAAAACCCAAATAAGGAGAATAATATGCACTTATCGCCATTACAAATTACAGTAGCTGTTGGGGTAGGATAAAAAAACACACACACGAAGAATAATATCCATACCTCAATAGAGTTTTTTTTTATCAGTAAAAAAGAATTTTATTAATGAAAAAAATAGAAATATATGATATTACATCAATAAATGAAAAGGGAGTGCAAAAAGTATCAAAGCAAAATAACCGTAATCCCACCGAATATATTACCCTAAGGATTTGAAAGAAACCAATCACAACAAGGGATAAAAGAAACAAACCAAATCTATAACCAGCAACAAAAATAAGCAACAGCAGTTATCAACCACAATCAAAAATCAGAAATGATACGGACCTCATTTTTTTTTGGCCCCCACAACTCCCACAGACACATGTCAGCCAAAGATAAAAAGGAAAAAATAAAATAAATTAGCCAATCACAATGTATTAAGGATGGTGGGAATTCCCAAAGAGAGGGTCGCAACATTTTTCCATAAAAAATAAGTAGCAGTAGTACAACACCTCAACAGAGTTATTATAACATTTTGGTAGTAAATTGTGAACTTAGAATAGTCTAGAAAGAACAAGCAAGGTAAATATGAACCACAAAAGGAAAAAATGGCTCATACCAAATAGAAACTTGCACCAATTCCATGACAGTTGTTGCTCATGTCATGACCACCACTAGCAAGCTCACCTCCACCATCAATACCATGACGATAACAACGACAATAACCATCACTATCACCACTATCATGACCACCGGTACCACAACGACGATAACCACTTCTTCCACCACCATAACCACCACTACGACCATCAGTACCGTGATGATAGCGATAACCGTCACTACTACTATTACCATGACCACCACTACCATCATCAGCACCACGACCACAATGACCATCACTATCACCACTATCACGACCACCACTACAACCATCAATACCACCACCACGATGATAACTATCACTACCACCAACAATAACAAGTGGAGGTGCTGATGGAACATAATTATATCCCGGTGGCGGCTTTGGTAGTGGGAAGTCCCTTGGTACTGGAGGAGCCTGCTCTGGCGAGGCACCACCAGCATTGCCACCACCAGAACAACCACCCCATGCAAATTGCTTCATTTGTGGCCTTTTTTCCACCAAAACTGCTTCTATTAAAAATTTTTTAAGCTCTTTTATGACGTGGTGAGGGTCTGCAGAACCTTTAATGGTGACCTTCCCTTCTTTTGCATCCATAGAAACTGACTCCCCCTTATCAATTTTCAGCAACACGTTCTCGATCATGTACTCAATTCCTTTGAAGTTGATTTTCAGTTCGACAAAAAAAAACTTCGAAGTTGGAGCTCCCATTGAATAGGAGGACAACCCCAAAATATGATTTTCTTCCATCTTGCTAGCTACTACCTCCTTGGAGAGACTTTGAAAATTTTCTGCTAAAACAAAAAAAAAATCACAATAGCGACAGATTTTGAAATGACATGAAGCCCTAATGTTGTATCCGATGACCTGAGATGGTTGCACCACGTCAATGTTAACATGCAGGCATACCTACCCTGGTATGACATTGCAGTTTGGTGATGATGGAAGATGAGTAGGAACATTCACATGGTATTCTGGGAATATTTAATAATTTTTCGACAAAAAAGGGACAATTTGAAAAAGGCAATCTATATGGCTATTCTACCATGGAGTTGAAACACTTGTCATCAGCCGAGGCGAATGCAATTAAAGAGACAATAGAGGGGGGAGGGCATGCTTAGATGTTACACAGTCATGAATTTGATTTGATGGTGCTTGTTCATATTCAAAATTGTTATTTTTAATGATTATATATATATATATATAAAATAAAAATAAAAACTTTCATCAAGATCTAATACTAAAATAGTGGTTTCGATGAGAAAAAATGTATGGATTGTTGATAATGATGGAGGAACATGGCCGGAGAAACGGTAAAAAGAGAGAAATCAAGATTGATTGACAAAAGTATTGAAGAGCACTAGTCAAAGAAGCTTTTCTGCACTTAAAAAGTGAAAATGCAAGACAAAAACAAAAAGTTGGATTGTGATCATATTGTATATTAGTGTAATGATATTTTTTAATTTAAATTAATTATAAAATTGCATTTTGTTAAAGTTGTTAGGATCTTCTACCTAGTAGGGTTCGGGTTTCCTTGTTTTTAGGATTGTAGTGCTTTAAAGTCCTGCATAATAATCCCTAGTCTTAGGAGGGAAAGTTATTTTCTATTTAGATTTAGTCATGCACCACGATTCTAGGGTTGTAAATTCGTGGGTTGTTATTTCCCTTTCTGCTTTGATGTAAGGCTATTTAATAACCATGTTTGTTCTTTAATTTAATAAGGAGTTCTCTATGCATCTAAGAGTAATTGTGCTTGGTTTTAACATCTGGTATCATAGCTCTATCACGGGACCTGACCAACAGCTTGTATCACAGCCATCAACATGAAAGCACAACATGACAAGCAAAAGCAACTTTGTGCAGCCTACTATTCCACGATTCGATGGACACTACGATCATTGGAGTATTCTTATGGAGAATTTTCTGCGTCCAAAGGTGTATTAGAGTTTGGTGGAAACTGGGATCTCTGCAATAGCGGAAGGGGCGGATCTCACTGAGGGACAGAAGAAAGTGATTGAGGATCAAAAGCTGAAATGCCTAAAGGCTAAAAACTATCTGTTCCAAGCCATTGATCGATCCATTTTGTAGACAATATTGAAAAAGGACACAGCAAAGGATATCTAGGACTCTTTGAAGTAGAAGTACCAACAGACAGCACGAGTTAAACGTGCTCAACTCCATGCTCTTTGCAAAGAGTTTGAAGTGTTGCACATGAAAGCTGGGGGATCGGTAAATGACTATTTTGGAAGAACCCTCATCACAGCCAATAAGATGAGAATTCATGGCGAAAGGATGGAGGATGTGGTGATCATCAAGAAGATCTTGAGATCCATGACTCCAAAGTACGATTATGTTGTATGCTCAATCGAGGAATCAAATGATTTGGATACTTTATCCATAGATGACCTTCAAAGCAGTCTTTTAGTGCATGAACAACAGATCAGCAGTCACAATGTGGATGAACAAGCCCTTCAGATCACTCACGGACTTCAACTAGGAGGAAAAGGTGGTGGTATAGGTTCTTACTGAGGAAGAGGAAGAGGTAGGGGTAGGTTTGATAAATCTACCCTAGAGTGTTATCACTATCATGAGTTGGGTCATTTTCAGTGGGAATACCCCCAAAGAACAAGAGATACAAAGCTCAACTTTGTCGAGACCAATGAAGAGATGCTTTTAATGGCATATGTGGATGGCAACAAGGATAGAAGAGATCACTTGTGGTTTCTTGACTCTGGGTGTAGTAATCACATGTGTGGGAAAAGAGAGTTATTTTCACAATTTGATAACAATTTCAGAGAAAAAGTGAAGGTGGTTTGATGGGTCGTTGAACACACCAAAATTAAATACTAAACTATACCAAATTCTATCAGAATAATGACAAGTCCAGGTATCGATCCACAGGGACTATTGTGAAATTAAACTAATTTAATTGTTAAATTCCTAAATTAATTTTGATAAAAAGATTGGTTGTTTATAACCTAATTTAATAATGAATAAATTAAACTAAGGAATTAAATTATCAATAATAAATGAAATTGGGTTTACTAAATTGGGGAAAAATCCTAGGGTAGAGAATTCACCACTAACCACATAATTAGGGTTTCCAATTGAAATTAATTATGCTATGGTTTGAACGAATTAATGCTTCACAACTACAAGCTCAGAGTATTTAACAAGAAGATTATCACATTCAATGTACGAGCACGAACCATCTCAAGCAATACGACTCGTTCACTCTAAACTAGGGTAGTGATACGACTCGTTCCTCGTAGCATGGTTTGTCCCATACCTTGAATGTGAAGGAATAGAAAACTCATGTATGGATAATATTCAACAATCACAGAAAGTCAAATATTTGAAAAGATAATGAAAATTATATATAAAGAATCTCTAAAACACCATACAATGGTTCAAACCTTTACATAATATAAAATCAAAAAAGAAAAACCTATTACATGGCTAGGGTTTTTTCAAAACCCTAGAAAAGGAGACTAGCCACTCATGGATGTGTGGGAGAAGGTAGATGGAGAAGGAACCACCATGGGAGACATCTTTGAAGCTTCTTGTTTCTTCCTCTTTTTCAAACCCTAGCCTCTCTTTTTAGGTCAAAACAATTTCAGCACCCTAATCCAGCCTTTTACTTGCCTTTTTATACTTCCAATCTCGTCCAAACAGGTTTAAAACGTCGGTTTGACTTTTCCAGAAAAAGTCAACGCACGTGCGGAAAGTCAACGCACGTGTGGGAAAGTCAACGCACGTGCGGGAAAGTCAACTCTGCCCAAATTTTGTCTTTTTGCTCATTTTATGCTCTAACGATGTACAACCTGATTGACACTCAACACACATAAAATATACAGTTTGACCAGCAAGTGAAGTTAAGAGATTCTAATTAACGGCCTCAATGATGTACATTTCGGCCTTAATCAGCAATGATATGAGTCTCACTGTGCAAGAGAAGGACAACATTCGAATAGAGATAAATAGGATCGTGCAGGTGATTACTGAAGTTTTCTTTGTGTTGGAGTTGAAGAACAATTTACTAAGCATTAGTCAATTGCAAGAGAACGGTCTTGTGATGCTCATGCAACATAGGAAATGCAAGATTTATCATCCTGAAAAAGGTTTAGTCATGGACACCAAGATGGCATGCAACAAAATGTTTGTTGTGCTTGGTCACTATCCACCAAAAGAGGAAAAATGCTTCTCCTCTATAAGCACAGGTCAAACTCAACTCTGGCATTGTCGTTATGGTCATCTTAGTTGGAATGGTCTCAAAGAGATCCAACAAAAGAATATGGTGGATGGTTTGCGTCAGTTGAAGGCTCCTTTGAAGATCTACGAAGATTGCTTGATAGGAAAACAACATCACGATCCTTTTCCAAAAGAAAGCACATAGAGGGCATCTGGAATTCTTCAGTTAGTGCATGCGAACATATGTGGGCCAATAAAACCAATCTCGAATAGCAAAAAAAGGTATCTCATTACTTTTATTGATGACTTTAGCAGAAAAACTTGGGTTTATTTCTTACCTTTAAATCCTATAAAGCTAGAGTTGAGAAAGAAATCGGTGCATTCATAAAGAGTCTTCGAACTGATCGTGGGGGTGAGTTTACATCACAAGAGTTCACTTACTTCTGTGATGAGAATGGCATTCAAAAGCAATTAACAGCAGCTTACACACTTTAACAGAACGGGTCACGGAGAGAAAGAATCTCATTATCATGAATATGATGCACAGCATGCTGTCAGAGAAGCAAATCCTAAAGAATTTCTAGCTTGAAGCAGTGAATTGGACAGTGCATGTCTTAAATAGAAGCCCGACACTTGCCGTGAGAAGCAAGACACCAAAAGAAGCCGGGAGTGGGTTCAAGTCTTCAGTAAGTCACTTTAGGGTCTTTTGATGCATTTCCCATGTTCATGTACCTGATAGCAAGAGAATAAAGCTCGATGCCAAAAGTCTGAAATGCATATTACTTGGGGTAAGTGAAGCATCCAAGGCTTACAGGTTATTTGATCCAATTTCTCAAAAAAATAATTATGAGTCGAGATGTGGTTTTTGAAGAAAACCAAAGGTGGAACTGGGATGATAGTCACAAGGAAACTATTTTGGCTGATTTGGAATGTGAGGAAGATGAAGATACAGGGACAAATGAAAGCCTTGGGGAGGAAACTGAAGCAAACATCACTCTTGAACATGAACTTGAAAACATAGGATCTATTCCAAGTGATTCACTTAAAAGGGGAGAGTCTTCAAGTGATGGCAGTCCTTTTCATGGAGGACGAGTTTGAAGACCACCAAGGTGGATGCAAGATTATGTAAGTGGGCAAGGCTTCTCCGATGAAGAAAATGTCGATGTGGCTCATCTAGCCTTATTCTCTGAACATGATCCATTGACATACGAGGACGCAGTGAAGAGTAGCAAATGGAGACAGGCCATGGATGCTGAAATCGAAGCTATTGTGAAGAATGATACATGGGAACTCACCGAGCTGCCATCTAGAGTAAAGACAATTGGAGTAAAATGGGTTTTTAAAACGAAACTCAATGAACATGGGGAAGTGGACAAATATAAGGCTCGGATCGTTGCGAAAGGGTACAGTCAATAGTATGGAGTGGATTATGCTGACGTGTTTGCACCAGTAGCTCGTTTGGATACCATTCGAGTAGTCATCTCACTTGCTACCCAGAAAAGCTGGATGATCTACTAACTAGACGTCAAATCTACGTTTCTGCATAAAGAGATACATGAAGAAGTATTCGTGAATCAACCACCAGGTTATGAACAAAAAGGACAGGAACATAAGGTATGTCGACTGAAGAAGGCTTCGTATGGACTCAAACAAGCTCCCCGAGCTTGGTATAGTCGAATAGAGACCTATTTTGTTCAAGAAGGCTTTGAGAAATGCCCTTATAAGCACACTTTGTTCTTAAAAATGACAGATGGAGGTAAAGTTTTGATTGTGTGCCTTGATGTTGATGATCTTATATTCACTGGTAATGATGAGATTATGTTTGAACACTTTAAGAAATCCATGATGATGGAATTTGACATGACTGATCTTGGTAAAATAAGACATTTTCTTGGAATTGAAGTTTTGCAAAGGGTGGATGGCATTTTCTTCAGTCAACGGAAGTATGCTCAGGAGGTTTTGGAGAGATTCAATATAGCCCAGTGCAATCCAGTGCACAATCCAATGGTTCCTGGATTTAAACTCACTAGGGATGAAAATGGAGTAAGGATCGATGGGACATATTACAAACAAATCGTGGAAAGCCTTATGTACTTGATTGCCACTCATCTCGATTTGATGTTTGTAGTAAGTTTAATTAGCAGATACATGGAACAACCCACTAAGACTCATTTGCAAGCAGCGAAAAAGAGTGTTAAGGTATGTGAAGGGTACAGTCAGTTTTGGATTATTCTACAAGAATGGAGGAACTAAAGAACTTGTTGGCTACACAAATAGCAATTACGCTAGTGATCAGAATGATAGGAAGAGCACCTCTGGCTATGTTTTTATTCTGAGTTCAAGTGCAGTGTCTTGGTTTTCTAAGAACAGCCAGTAGTCACTCTTTCAACTATCGAAGCAAAGTTCATCGTTGCTGCATCTAGTGTTTGCCAAGCTGTGTGGCTAAGGAGGATTTTGGAGCAGCTTAATCATAGTCAATACAAACCAACAGTGGTTTACTGCGATAACATCTCAACTATTAAACTGTCCAAGAATCCAGTCATGCATGGTCATAGCAAACACATTGATGTGCGCTTTCATTTTCTTCGAAATCTCATCAAAGATGAAGTTGCTGAATTGGTGCAATGTTCTACTCATAAGCAAATTGCATATATTTTGACAAAGCCACTAAAGCTTATGGTGTTCATGAAGATGCGTGGTCTTATGGGTGTTTGCGAATATCCAGGGATAAACTGAATATCGATAGCATTCAGTTTAAGAGAGGATGTTAAAGTTGTTAGGATCTTCTACCTGATAGGGTTCGGGTTTCCTTGTTTTTAGGATTGTAGTACTTTGAAGTACTGCATAATAATCCCTAGTCTTAAGGGGCAAGTTATTTTCTGTTTAGATTTAGTCATGCACCACGATTCTAGGGCTTTAAAGTCGTGGGTTGTTATTTCCCTTTTTGCTTTGATGTAAGGCTATTTAATAGCCATGTTGGTTCTTCAATTGAATAAGGAGTTCTCTCTGCATCTGAGATAGACATGTAATAGAAATCATTCATTGCATATATATGAAATAAAAATGATCACAATCCAAAAAAAAAAATATGCTATGTATCACCGAAATATTGTCACCAATTAAATATCAACTTTTATATATAAATATTTATAATTGTTTCAATTGAGGAGTTAATATTGCCAAGTAAAAAATTGGTGATACAAAACAGTAGTACAAAAAAAAAAGATTGAATTTCTCTCAATTTCATAGGCATGTGGAATTACTAAACGTCTTGTTTCAGTGATATAAAAAATAAAAAATAAAAAAAAAAATTGTAAGATCATTTGTGTATGGCCTCCTTTGTAAACTTTAGCTATTTTATGAGATGAAAAAAAAATATTTTGGGGATGATTTACGGATTTTTTTGTTGTTGAATAGATATAATTGTGAGAGAAAAAATAATTGATTGATGTGTAGAATGTATAAAATGTAATATTTTGTCTTATTAACTGTTTTAATATTTTGTGTTTTTATTAACTATTTTAGCCAAAAAGCTCTTGCCAAACACCCTCACTATCATTCCTAAAAAAATTGAAAAATGATATACAAGTCTACTTTTTAGACCCATTGACTCAATGATGTATAAGTGATATGATTAGTTGATGATTAGAGAAAATATGAGAAAAAGTGTTACCTCCAATATCCTAATTGATTGTCATATCACTAGACTTGAAAATTGGGTCTAATTTTTTATCTTGAATAATAATACTCAAAAAAATTAGATCGATTCAATAATTATATCATTTTTCATCTTATTATATTTGTCTCTGAATAAATGAATAAATATGTTTTTTAAAATAGACTATCTATTTAAAATAAAAGAATAAAAAACAAACGCAATAAAATAAAAGTCACATCAATATTTTTTTATGAATAATATCTACAAAGGACCTTACAAAATGAGTTGTTTATCGAAACAGAACCTGTAGTAAACTTGAACAATTCTTTGAAGTTCAAAAAATTCATATTTAAATTGAGAGAAATCCAACTCAAAAATTAAGTATATTTGTCCTCAACAAACAAATTTCAATTACCAAAACAAACAAACAAAAAAATGTTAATTACATTTTTTAAATGTGTTGGTTAGTTATGCATTTTGAATATAACTAACACCACACTAAATTTAAATATAAATTTATTTCAATTTGTAAAACATTATAATTAGAATAATATATTTACATACATACATGAATACATATATGCACATACATACAATTTTTTTTTTCTTTGTTTCTATCTGTAAAAATTATATATATATATATATATATTGATGTTGAAACTTATGAGTATAGAGAGAGAACAACAAAAAGGAGAAGAGAAAAGTTAGGGATCATGAAAATTTTCTCATGAAAATGATCATGAAAGAATTATGATCCTTGGATTACCTTAATTAGTGTGTAGTATTTTATTCTAAGTGTAATCCAAGGGTCACAAAACTTTCATGATTATTTTCATGAAAGGTTTTTCATGATACCTAGCATTGCTGAAAGGAGAATAGGTTCAATAAATAAATAGTTGATCCGTCATGTTCAGGTTCCGGATGTTCACTACGAGTCTTGTTTTAATGATCTAAATAGTTTATTTTATAAAATTCTCTGTATATAACTCCATTAAAATAAATTAAGTTAATCAAATAATTGTCACCTTTTTATTTTATCACATTGTCTCCGAAAAAATAAATAAATTATTGTTAAAATATTTTAGAGACAAACATGATAAAATAAAAATTGTACGATTTTCAGATTAATCTAAATTTTTTTTTCATGGATAATATGCATGAAGGGTTTTACAAAATGAGTTGTACAGATTGTCGAAATAGGATCCATAACGAACGCCATGAGCTTAAACATGAGGTCAAGTTCATATTTGATGATCCGAAGTGTTCTATAGTCCTTCAAGCATATTATTCATACAAAAAAGTTATATTCATCGAACTATAATCATCCAATCAATCTAATTTTTTGTGTGAATAATTTGCACAATTTTTTTTTTAATTTATAAAATGAACAATTCGAATCATCCAAATCCAAAGCTAAATATCACACATCTGCAAAACAACCCAAACCTTGCACCACCAATGCCACAGAATCACGATCTGCTCTAGATCAACTGCAAAAGTAAAATTAAAAAATAAAATTAATCAGACACAATATTCATATCAACAGTGAAACACACAAATCATCATAAATATGCATAGAGAACAAAAAAAAAAATTTATCGGTTAGATGAGATGCAAACTCAAGATAGTATTGGATCTAGAATATGAATAAAAATTTGTAAATAAAAACAATGAGAGAGAAATATGTAATGAGGTTTTTTTTTTTTCCCTTTATATTTTTAGAAATTTTCTTTTTTCTCTACAAATCTCTATCTAGATCCAACTCCAAACACATCCTAAAAGAGAAATCAACAAATTCACAAAAACCATCCACATGTATATACTATACTATATGAAACATGAAATTAACAAATCTATTTAATCAAGCATAATAAAACTTACTTTGGAGAAGGATGAGCAAGATCAACTAACATTGATGAACATGAAGTCAGACAACAAAGAACGAAACTTTAGTAAACATACCTGTAGATCTGTCGACGAACACAGAAAATGGCACAAACTCATTTAAAGCGTGGTTGTTAAGTAGGCCACCAAGTATATATAGAACTTGAGTGGTAGATAGATAGAACTTTCTACATAATTCCATATATTTTGTTAATTATATAAAAACTTGGTCAATTACTATTCAGTGTGTTTAGTTTCAGTTTTTTGAAAATTGAGATTTTTATTTTTCGTATTTTTTTTTGTTTTTAATGAATATTTTTTAAAATTTTAAGCATTTTTTTATTTTTTTAGATGCACTTTACTTAGATGTATTTAAAAAGTAAAATATTTGTGAAAAAATATTTTTAAAAATTAATAAATACACAAAAATACAAAAAATATACTAAATTTATATTGAATTTTCGTGAAAAGTACATCTAAATAAAGCGGAACTAGCAAATATTTTATTTAAATAGAAAAGCATGAAAACTAGGCTAAATATATTTTTAATCAAAACAAAATACAAATTAAAATAGACTAAAATAAGAGTAACTTACAATTGTTTATTGTTTACTGGAAACTAGAAATCATTATTTCAAAATACAAGTTCTTCCAAATACAGATTACAAAATAAAAAATTACAAGAAGAGAGTTTGAGAGAGTTTTTTGAAATCTCCCAAAATTTCATGTGTTCTCTTATGACTGAGGAAGTCCCTTTTTTTAGAGATGCAGGTGACTTGAATTCATCTCTTTTCTCCCTGGGAAAAATTCACAGGCCAGAAAAAAGCCAAATGTGAACTGTGAAGTCACATAGGCTCTGGTTGCTACTGTGACGGTTCATGGATTCTATTTTTACTTTTTGGGGTGAGTAATTGAAAAGACCATTTTTTACTCTTTTTTTTTTTTTTTGAAAAGCTAGAGAGGCGTTACTTTCATAGTGACTGATTGGGAATCTGAATATATTCAGAAGCAGCTTTTCTCAAAAGAAGAGTATTGATTGAAGCTTTTGAATATATTTGGTATCCAGTGTTGATGACTGTGTTAAGCATATGGGTCCTGAGCATCTTGGTATTGGGAGCCATATGAATCATGACTAGTAGAGACATCAAAAGAGGCTGATCCATCTAAAGTATTGTCTTTATCTTGTGAGTTGGCTTGCGCTAATAATAATTTCGCAATCTGGATGAGTTCTTCATTGCTTGTTTTTTACTTGGGCTTTGTTTTGGGCTGTAACTTGGATGACTTGAATTTGGGAAGCCCAGAGTTGGTTGTTGGGCTTCCAAGTCTGACTATTGTGAGAGGAAGTGAGCTTCCTTGAGTGACTGAAGTAGTTGGATTCTGCTGAGAAGACTTGACCATTGTTGGAGTAAGAGCATAAATATTTACCGGAAATTCTTTTTAGACTTGATCAATAATGTGATGGTCTTTAAATGCACCCCACCATTTGACAAAATGTTGTCTAATGACTATGTTATCTTCAATATGATATTGCCATTTGAATATCCAAGGAACTTTATATTTGGACATGAAATAAAGCAATATTGGAAATTGACTCTTGTGTTGACTCAATATGTAGACTGGAGAAATGAGATTCATGAGGTTTGAAGGGATGATTTCTGAAATGGCACCATGTTGAAACTACCATCTTAGAAACCAAGAAGGAAATTTTGACTTGAATTGATGATCAAAGGAGAAAAACTAAGAGTGACTGTATGTTTCATTTTCATGCAAGAGGACTTTGAGCTATGCATTAATATAATCAAAATAACTATATTGTATCGTATAATTAGGAAGATTTTGCAACAAGAAAGGGAGACCCTATTCACCAAGGGATACAATGTTGTGTATATGCAAAGAATGGTAAATGATTTTACTGGTATTGACTCTGTCATAAATGGGTTTAATGACTATGGACTTATGATGGAATATGATATCTTTGTAGAAGGTGATTGACTTGTCTAGATGAGATGGAATGAAATGCCAAATAGGAGGGAAATAGGTTTTAACTAAGTCAATGACATTATGACTGTTTTTATGTACTGGTTCTTTATAATAAAAAAAAAAGTTTAGGTGATTGAGTTTTAAGAACATAATATGTTCTTGATGTTGACCGGTATGGATAATTAGGAGGCATGAATGTAATTGATTGGGAAGCAAAGGGGTCAGTGGAAAAAACAAAGGTATGACTAGGTTTAGGAATAGTACCAAGAATTTGGTATCTGTTGACTAAATTAATTGGGGGTGCAACAATGGGTTCACTGGCGGGAATAATAGCAAGTGGTTTAGAGGAAGGCTTCTAACTTGACATCTATAATTAAGAAAAATAAAATAGGTTAGCATCCACTGAGGACATCTAGCCTATTTGTATGGAAATTGAGAAGATTTGTGTAATGAGCAATTAAATTGCGTCGGCTAGCAATTTGGTGAAATTAGAGGAAGGGATCTTGGTCAATTGACTTTAAGTAGACTATTTCAAAGGTATAATGGTAAATAATTTTGCGATAACGGGTGATTTGTAGTCTATGGGTAGAACAATATGGAGTTGGCATTTTTACTATGGAATTCGTAATATAAATATACTTATGACTTTCTCTATCCACCCTGTAAAAATTCACGCGTAAGAAAATCAAGGAATAAAGTTTTGACTACCAGGAATATATTTAATATTAAAATCAAATATACTTAAAACATATTGCCAACGGGCAAAAATGTGCTTACTAGCAATGTTTTGAAAATCTTTTTCTAAAACATATTTTGCACTTTTACAATCAAGGCATACTAGAAATCGTTGATTTAAAATATCATCTTGAAATTTACTAATACATAATACAATAGATAAAATTTCTTTTTCAATTGTATTATAATTTTTTTGTGCTTTGTTCCAGATACCAGAGTGAAAATGAACAATTTGTTCAGATGACTTGAGATGGACTTGCTGAATGAGGATGCGACCATAACCATTGTCAGAGGCATCAGTTTGAATAATTTTGAATGAATCTTTAATAGGAATACCAAGACAAAGTAAAGTCTTGACATAATGTAGACACCCCATTTTTGACCGCCCGCAAGACTTAGGCGCTTGGTTCAATACACTCGATGATAAAAGTTGAATTGTGAATTTGCAGCGATTCAGATTTAATCAAGCCCTTGAAATAACCTCAAATCTTCAACATTTGCCTTGTTAAACTTGTGAGTTTCATTTTTGGACCTTTTCCCACCCTGAGCTGAGTTTGAACCAAAAAACAGGGGAGGCCATCAAGGCCCGGCCGTGCATCAGTGATGGCCGGTCGTGGCTATGAATGGTCGGCCGGCCGTCAATGGCGATAAACACTGTTCTGGGTAGGAGGCCGCCAGTTGTCCATTTTTGAAGATATTTATCACATTTTGAGCTTGAATTCTATAAAAATGAAGCTCTGGGATTGTTTTAAGGGTTGAACAAAAATCTAAAAACCATATATACACCTTAAGAGCTCTTGTCTCCTCCTTCTTCCATTACAAGTCATCTTTGAGCTAACCTAACTTGTTTATACCATCTCTATATTCCATACACAACCTTGTCTTACCACTCTAGAGCTTTGGTTGATCTTGGAGAAGCATAATTCAAGCTTGAGGGTGAATTGAAACCAAGTTTGGATCATCAACAATAAGCTTACTCCTTTAAAGGTATAGGCTTGTCATCTTTTCTCTTACCTTCATTTATATCACTTGCTTCATAGTTCTTGTTGTTTCGAATTGTTTTGAGCTTATTTGAAGTGTTTGGGGTTGGGTTTGAAAAGTTAGCAAAAGGGTAGAGAGAGCTTGCTCTTTCTATACCTTTACTTATAACTCAAACCTTCCCTTTTCCACTATTTTCCTTTGATATTTACACTAATTTTTAGAGTTTTAGAAAAGCTAAAAATCATGTTTTGAAGCTTCAAAAGTTGAGGGGTTAGCCATCCCTTCTTATTCTTGCTTACTAGCCTGAATTCTCTTATTTATCATTTAGATTTTTAAGCGTTTTTCATGCATGTCCTACCTCTGTTTTCCAGGTATTAAGGGTTGTTTTGAAGTTTTCCAAGACTTGTCAATTAGTTCATGTCTTGTTTAGTACATTTGTGATCTCATAAGTTAGCATGTGTAACTTGTTGTTTGTTATATAGCTTTCTTTTACTCATTTCCATGTTTGAAAGTCTAAGTTTAATAATCAATCCATCATTCATTTTTTTTTTTCATTCTTGAGAATGATTTCAACCGATTGAGGTTTTTCGAAACATGTAAGAAAGGTTCCCACTTAATGGCTTAATCTTTTCGAAGATTCATTGCCAACAATGTGTTCTTTCTCTCATGCTTTAGAAGAACCTCTTGTTTGACGTCATTTCTTGTTTAGAGGACTTTAACATCACCATGGACAAATGGACTAAAGAATGGCAAGGCCTAATAAAATTGGTTTAAAACTTGGATCAACACACATAAAGGAAATGGTTTAAATTGTTTCAACTTGGCTAGACGTTATGCCAAGTTACCTGTGTCAAGAGTCGTTACATGCTAATTCATGGCATTTTGATGATTCTTGAAGCGTTGCAACCTTCCTTTTTAAATTCATACTATGAGAAGAGGGAGGGGTGATCCTACTCTTTACTTTTTATTAACTTTTGTCCAAAATTGAGTCTGAGATCATCAAGCAGTCATATTGCTCATTGATGGCTTTGGAATCAATTTCAACCTACTCTCGAGGATTTCCTATGACAAAGAAGAAATGAAGGACAAACAGAGCTTGAAAATGCTCTATCTGCACTGATTTCACCTCAGAACACAAAAACAGAGCTTTGCACCAAATTGATGAATGACCGGTCATTTGTAGACCTGACCGGCTGTAAGTGATGCATGGCTGGTCCTCGGTGTGTGGCCAACAGTGCAAATTTGCAGAAACAAAGGCAGTGGCTAAAAGTGAAACAGAGATGGCCTGGGCAGACAGAGTAGTTTTCAAGCGCTGCACATACAACCTCCATTCATCTTCCATTATGCTCATATCAAATGCGATTAATTGTTTTAGTTGTGAATAAATCTTATTTTAATTAAT